GAAGCAATATGGCTGGAGAAATACTGCCATTTAGCCAGCCGTATTGCCACAAAATAGGCCCGATAATGGCCTCTAAGTCATGTTCGATTGGATAGTCATTTGTACACATGGTTCAAGTTCAAACAATCATGGAGTATTTACTGCTTACCAAAGCAAGAAATCAAAATAAAACATGCTTGACAGATGGCCATCAATCTTTCTTTAAAAAAAACTCTTAATGAAGACCACTCTACACCTTCTAAGGAAGTCCTTTCCACTGTTGAACATCTGAAGTGTGTTTGTGATGACCAGCTTGTTCTCTTGACAAAACTCTATTAGCCGTTGCTCTGCTTCGTTTTGAACTCCCAGGCTAAACTTACCTGTTGTTCCTTTTATCTCTTGACTCCCTGCTTTAGCATTCCAATCCCCTAGAATGAGGACATCTTTCTTTGGTGTCAGTTCTAGAAAGTGTTGTAAGTCTTCATAGAATTGGTCAATTTCAGTCTCCTCAGCATTGGTGGTTGGTGCAAAAACTTGGATTACTGTGATGTTGAAAGGTCTGCCTTGGATTCATATTGAAATCATTCTATCATCTTTGAGATTGTATCCCAATACAGCTTTTCCCACTGTTTTGTTGATTGTAAGGGCTACTCCATTTCTTCTACAGGATTCTTGCCCACAATAGTAGATATTATAATTGTCTGAATTGAATTCACCCATTCCTGTCAAATTTAGTTCACTGACGCCCAGGATGTCAATGTTTATTCTTACCATCTCCTGTTTGACCACATCCAGCTTACCAAGGTTCATAGATCTTACATTCCAGGCTCCTATGCAGTATTTTTCTTTGCAGCATCGGACTTTCCTTTCACTTCCAGGCACGTCCACAGCTGAGCGTCCTTTCGGCTTTGGCCCAACCACTTCATTAGCTCTGGAGCTACTTGTACTTGTCCTCCACTCTTCCTCAGTAGCATGTTGGACGCCTTCCAACCTGAGGGTCTTATCTTCCAGCATCATATCTTTTAGCCTTTTGTTTCTGATCATGGGGTTTTCTTGGCAAAGGTGCTGGAGTGGCAGTGCCAATTCCTGCTCCAGGTGGATCACATTTAGTCAGAACTCTCCACTATGACCTGTCCATCTTGGGTATCCCGGCACGGCATAGCCCATAGCTTCTCTGAATTACTCAAGCCCCTTCGCCACAACAAGGCAGCAATTCGTGAAGGGGAAGCAGTTGATACGTATTGTGAATAAATAAAATCACTGGGCAAAATCCTAATGTTGCATACATAAATTTCTGCTCACAGAAATGGATTTTCCCAAACTTTCCTTCTCATAGTGTGTCCCTGCAATCTGCTATAGAAGGCCGCCTAAGTATATACAGTGAAATTTATGCAGTTCAGGGAGGAACAATCCTATCTGTCTCACTGAAGAAAAGCTATTAGCAGGAGAGGCTGAATGAAGGAGGATCACTGAGAACTACTACATTTAATCTCACATACATAGGTGCCAACACTTTCTCCATCTACGTTAGGGATTTAATATCCATTTAGCCAATTTTATCCCTGTACAAATGCAGAAACTGCACTCTTCAGCTCATCACTTAGCAGGATCCAACGACATTAAAATCTTTCTAAACAACATGTAAGTATTCAAGAATTGTAAAGATAATTGAAGCAATCAAGGTATTAGTGTGTAATTAATGTAAACAGATGAAGAAATAATCAGCACAAATCCTGAAAAAGAAGCCTCAAATGGGCAACTAGTGTAGTAACTGAATCATAATTAGCACTTTGTCTTAAAATGCACAATTGCATTCTCTTAAGACAAAAATATAATGAACCAACTCCCATTGTAAAAAAATAAATAGAAGGTTATATTTGTTTTTCTGCTATGCCACAGGCCTGTCAGAGATTAACTATACTGTAACTGTAATTATGTATAGGATTCTGATCTTGAAGAATGGTGCATTTATTTAAGCTGATTAAAAAGGTCTTAAATGCCCTGAATTGTAAAGCAGTGGCAAAAAACACCACTCCAATTTAATGTAGTTAAGACACAGTTCTTCTTGCTTCAGAGGCGCTACTATTTTGTGCTATTGTGTTTGAGCATTTGGAAACAGTTATACTATTTATTTTTGTTGTTAGCTGCCCTGAGTAATGCTTTCCACTAAGTCGGGCTGTGTGTGTGTGTGTGTGTGTGTGTGTGTGTGTGTGTGTGTGTGTGTGTGTGTTAGTTCTTACCCTGTCAGAGCTTGTTCAGGGAGCATTCTTGCTTTTATCATCTCAACCCACCCAGATAAACAAGCAAGCAAGCAAGCAAGCAAGCAAAGCAAAGCATGCTGCTTATATAATGGCCCATAGCACTTGCAGCACTCTCTGGGCAGTTTACAATTTAAATATACAGGCTACACACTGCCCCCACTCCAGTGAGCTGGGTACTCAATTTATCAACCTCGGAAGGATGAAAGGTTAAGTGAACCTTGAAATGGCTAATTAGGATTGAACCAAGGTTGTGAAGTGTTTAGATGATTGCTGCTGCTATAAAATCTGCACCCAGAAGCTTGGAAGTTTGTGGAAGCAACAAGTCAACACTCTGGCTCACATCCACGCTCCTGCTTATCCTGGACCCTTGGCTTTGGAATCTGACTGCTGACTATGGTTTGTGTTTTGGCTTTGGCATTTTGGTATCTGATTTGCATCTTCTGGACTTCTGATACTGGACTGGTTTATTGGACGGTTGACTGTTGAAACCCCCTGGGAACGTGACAAGAGTTAATGACATCGACTGTACCTTCATTACCTGTAATAATAAACAACTTATATTTAGTTCTTTTTAAAATGAAACATTGCCTGGTCTTTTATCATTAATAATAAACAATGTTGATGTAATCAACTGATGGCAGTGACACAACACATGGCTTGTGCCCTTTGCTTGGTAAAACAACCAAGGGACAGGCGGGAACGTGACACAACCATGTTCAGATATTTAATTATTTGACCACTGAAATCAGACTTTATACCACAAATTATACAGAATAAAGAATTTCAAGTGTGCTTCTTAGCTTTATTGAAGGTTAATAACCATCTTTTCTTGTTACATCGTGCCTCTTGTTGCCTTTAAATAATTATCCATGGATACCTTTCTTTGAGACATTATTATAATTGGGACACTAAGTAAACTGTATGGATGATAACATATCCAATTTAATCTACAAGACATTTATGCTCCATCTAAAATTTCCACTAAGCAGAGCTTTTCTTTGAAGATTCTAATGCCAATGACCAAGTGATATTTCTTGGGTTTAGTGGCTGAGTTATGAATGAAATATAGTGATGAGACCGTCTGATTTTTTTATTCCCTAAAACACCCACTCTGTTGTCACTGATGTTTCTGTGCAGATTGAATGTATGTGTGCAATGAAATATTAAAACACATATTTCTGCCATTTTTGTTTGGTTGTATTTCTGTCAGCTTCTGCACATGAAGTTGAGGGAGCACCTTTGTCTCAGGCAGCAAAACAGGTTGGTTGATCTTGGAACAAGTACTTTTTTATTCCTAACAAACAAGGTGAATGACACTTCCTGGATTGGTGATGGTAAGCGTAGAGGGAAACAGACAGAAAGTGGTGGCCATGGTATGTCAGTGCCACACTTGCTTTCATTAGTCAATCATGTATAAACCAAAGTGAATATTTAAAGTACCGTATTTGCCGGCGTACAAGACGACTGGGCGTGTAAGACGATCACCCAACATTTCCACTCAAAATACAGTTTGTTATATACTTGCCGTATAAGACTACCCTCTCTTCCGCATACCTTCCACACACCAAACAAAAGGTGCTATTCATTGTCACCATTGTACGGCTGCAGCGCAACCGCAGCACCTCCAGCCGGCCCCTGCATCTCCCTGTGACTGGCACTAGTGCACAACTGTGAGCTCTGCATAGACAAGGGGCGGGCTGGAGCGCCGCTGCTTCCCACCGACGACCTCTGTCTCACTGCTGATGTTCACCGCAGCCGCGCTGGATACTGCGCGATACTGGACGATATGTAGAATGAGGTGGGCAGGCATCGGAAGGCCACTATGGGCAGCTATGTCTATCCCAACTGAAGTGTACCAGGCGTATAAGACAACCCCGCCACTTGGAGGCATGTTTTTCAGGGCAAAAAAGTAGTCTTATACACCAGCAAATACAGTATTTCCTGCAACTTTAACTCCATTGCAACCTGTTAATATCCATTATAGGTACTTTTTCCATAAATACAGCTCCCAGGTGGATCACATACATTTACTGGTCAATTCCATAACTGAACAATGTATATCTCTTCTAATAATACACCAATAAGCACTGAAAACAATTCAGGATTTTGTTTCATAATACATTATCTCTAAGTTATGACATTCACCTTTTCATCTTCATCAACTTCACTTTCATTGACTATTGTTACTTGCCCTAACATTTAACAATATATGTCAATGTTCAATTGATGTAGGATCAATTCAGTCAAAAGTTTCTCTCTGCAATTGCAGACAAGTCAGCAATGCATAATTCCATGTAAGAACCTGAGAGACTACTTCTATGCTGAAATTGCTCAAACTATGTAGAAAAATCCTTGGAACAACTAAAAGCTGGGATTCTACTGCCCTCTAGCAAAAAGATAAAATACTGAACCATAGTACTGTACTGTATAGTACTTTCCAATGAAGCAGCTATGTTACTCTGCCTCAGCATGTTGGCAAAAACTGTGGGGGCGGGAGAAGGGGGAATAATAACAATATTGTCTTAATGTTTTAAATTTTACCTATATTTCATATATGTCCATAATTTTAAATTTCTGATAGAAGACTTCAGCCATACACAACTCCTTCTCTTTTGATGGAGCGTCTAGCCCCTGCGTCATCCAAAATGTAATGTACACCAAAATCATTCTTGGTGTAAGCTTCAAGTTTCATGTGACTTGCTAGACTACGAACTGAAGAACCTGGTTTTCTCAAAATATCTGTACAGTCAAAGATCTTTCCATACAGTAACTACTGCAACAGTACATCCCAATCACTTGAATTATTCACTTAGAAACTTGTGGATCATAGTTTGCAAAATTAAATTAAATTAGGCCATTTGACGGTTACTGATAAGGAGTGATCTATCCTGTGCACTCTCCAACAAAGTTCAAGATCCTGGGCAATGAATCTGTGAAAATTTCTAAGAGCCAACTTGCAAAATTATTGGTTGGGATCTGCTTGCAGTTAGCCTTAATATTTCCTAGTGATTGATGGTCATTGATGAGTAAAGTTCATAGGTGTCAGGGCATACTGTTTCTTTCAATATGTCTTCTTAGAGAAAGAATCCAGAACCTCCACAATAGAAGAGAGCAGAATAGATCTGCCATTAGAAGTGACCTTGACTTGGTGTTGTGGCGTCCTTAATATTCACACACCTTCCAAGGTTGGATACCAGTAGTACAGTAAATTTCTTCCCCACCTCTTTCCCAAGAGAATTTTCACCCGCCAATACCAACTTCTGCTCATCCCAGTATGGCAACTAGGCAGATAATGAGTTAAGTCCAAGAATTTTGCTTGCTAATTACTGAGAGTCACCTCTTGAGGACACCGATTTTCCTTGTATCTTTCATAGCCTGGGTTCCAAATGTGGGGGTCACATCCCGGGGGGGCATAGTCTTTTCTGGGAGGTCCCCACAATTATTATTAGATTAACATGTATTAAGTTAATTATTTTTATATATTCTCAAAGGCTTTCACGGTCGGGATCTGATGGTTATTGTAGTTTTTTTGGGCTGCTTGGGCGTGCTCTGGAACACGCCCAAACAGCCCAAAAAACCTACGTACAGCCAAAATAATTTTTATATTCATTATTTATTATAATAAATGTAAAGTATAAAGTATACACTATTCTGTTTTATTTTAATCTTCTTGGCCCACAAATAGATACATTTAATCTGAACTGGCACTACAGGCAACCCAGAGTGCACTTAGTTCTGTCTGTAGCCCTTTAGGCGCAACTGTTAAGAGTGGGAAGAAAGCTTTGTAGGCTTCCCGCCGCTGACCTAAACCCCATGCCAGCCTGAAAATATTTTAAAAATAAACTCTAACGTCAAGCAGTCATTGATTCTACACTCACTGTACAGTATTCTGTTCTACAACAACAAAGAAGTCCCATTTTTAAAACCCCTCTCTGTCTCATATATTTCAATACAACCGCCGTCTTCCCGCGTTACCAGCAGTAGTGACGTAATCACCCTCCCTTCCCTCAGTTTCAAGATGGCGTTTCTCTCTCTCTCTCTCTCTCTCTCTCTCTCTCTCAGAGGCACACAAACGGCCATCTGGTACTCGGTCTTCCCGCTGTCTATGGTCCTGCGGCGAGGTGCTCTATCCCTCACGCGAACTCGGTGGTAGAGGAAGTGGGTCGCTGCCATACCTGGCAGTGCTTATGACGCGAAGGAGAAAAGGAACAAGCGGACGAAGGACTACAGGGGGCGCTGTGGTCATTTGTGGGCCGGAATGCTACTGCGGGGAGTGAGCGAGGACTTGATCCGGGGTGTGTGCGTGCGCTCTCCGCATCGGCGGCGGCGGCGGTAGTGGTTCTTTTTCGCGCTCGCTCTTTTTTGCGGTACCGTCGGTTTCCCGCGTCAGTGGCCGTTGGGGCCGGGGCGGAATGTTTCGCAAGGCACGACGCGTGAACGTGCGGAAGCGGAACGACTCGGAGGAGGACGACGAAGAGCGAGACGAGGGGTCGCCGTCCTCCTCGCAGCCGCCACTGCCAGCAGCTGCCGAAGGGCCTGCGGGGGAGGCCGAGCCCCCAGCTCCGAAGCCCCCGCTTCTGCCCCTTCCGACGGGCTGCGTGCCCCTCGTCTCTCCTGCCGCCGCCGCCGCCGCCGCCGCCGGCTTCGCTTTTGGCGGAGCTGAGGCGGTTGGTCGGGGAGAGGCCGGCCTCATGGCCCCCCATCTCAACCCGCCCCCGCCGCCGGTTCTCCTTTCTCTCCCGCCTTCCCCGTCGCAGCAGCCGCCGACGTCGGGAAACAACGGGCTTCTCTCGGCGGCTTCCAAGCTCAAGGAGCGGAAAAACAAGAGCAAGGACGCCGCCGCCGCCCCGGGCCCGCCACGCGGGAGCCTCAGTCTCCTCAGCTTCCAGGATGAAGAGGAAGGTAAGGCGAACGCGGGCCGCTTTAGTTTTCGCTGGCGCGGGAAACCCACGGCATCCTCCTCCTCGGTCCTGGAGGCCTTGCTGCTTCTCCGGCCCACTGCCGGATTGGTGGCGTTTGAGGCGGCCCGAGTTGGAGGGTTGCCTGCTGCTCCCCCTTCGAGGCCACTCCCGGCTGGCCTTCTGGAGCGGCCTCGGAAAGTCGGGCCCTGCATTCACGCGGTGTGCGTTTTTGCTTTCCGGAAAGTATTTCCGCTCGCGACGAAAACCCACCTGCGGGCCGGGTGTACTCTTTGAAGCATTTGTCACGTCTTGGAAAAGTGTGAAGATTGTTATTTTGTTGCAGGAAATGCATATACAGTACTTCTAAGCAGGCAGGTGTTCAGTACGGTTCAGACGTAAAGGAGGAGATCGGGAATAGCCTCTGCATGTGAGAACTTTCGGGTGAAATTGGTAGAGGAAGCACTCCTATTTCATTTTCAGTCGACATCTAGTATGCATCTGTTTTCTAGAACTGAAGCACCATGAGAGGACTTTAAAGGGTTTAGGTCTCTGGCTGCAGAGCCGGAGGTTGAGAGTTCAATTTTCCACAGTGCTTTCTTGATAAGGACTGGACTCGATGATCCCTAGGGTCTCTTCCAGCTCTGCAGTTTGAAGATTATTACTAATAATATCTCTTCCTGTTCCCTTTTCTGTTGGAGGTTGTGTGTCATAATGATTATCATAGAAAAGTGAAGTTGGAAGGGGCCTCTAAGGCCATCAAGTCCAACCCCCTGCTCAGTGCAGGAATACAATCAAAGGATATCTGCCAGATGATGATCTAAATTTTTCTTGTATGCCTCCAGTGTTGGAGCATTCAGCAACTCCCGAGGTACCTGCTTCCACTGTTGTACGTACTGCTCTAACAGTTAGGAAATTTTTCCTGATAAAATCTGGCTTGCTTTAATTTGAGTCCATTGCTGCATGTCCTGCACTCTGGGATGATCGAGAACAGATCTTGCCCCTCCTCTGTATGTCAGCCTTTCAGATATTTGAAAAGTGCTATCATATCACCCCTCAACCTTCTTTTCTCAAGGCTAAACATGCCCATTTCTTTCAGCCTTTCCTCGTAAGGCTTGGTTTCCAACACTTGATCATGCTTGTTGCCCTCCTCTGAACCTGTTCCAATTTGTTACCATCTTTCTTGAAGTGTGGTGTCCAGGACAGGACACATTACTCAAGGTGTGGCCTAACCAGTGCTGAATAGAGGGGGCCTAGTACCTCGTGGAATTTGGAAACCATACTTCTATTAAAGCATTCTAAAACAGCATTATTTTGAATCCAGCAGTTGTAAACAGATCTTGTTTTGCATCCAAGCAGTTTCCCAGGTTCTTCAGCTAATACCTTCTCCATGTGTTTCTTTTCCTATTTTCCTTGAATGATCAAATTATCAACTAATTTATTCTTTTAAAATGTTTTCGAAAATACATTTTGGTTTGAGAGATGAAAATATAAATGAGAACATTTGATCTGTAAAAGACTGCCATTTTCAGTTGCTGTAATCTTTCTTGGTTATAGATGTCAAAGGAAGAAGTCACATTTTAGGTTTATGTGGGATCCTCTGAGAAGTTTTGTCTTTGGGTCATATATGGCAACAATAATTGGGAATTCTATCTCCTACCAAAATAAATTTGCAACCAAGACTTATCTACCTACCTAACTACCTTCATTCATTCATTCATTCTTGGTCTTATAAAAGCAAGTACATATTTCAGTCTACCAACTTGATGTTTTCTTTCATGTGTTACCTTGTTTCCCCAGAAATAAAACCTAACCTGAAAATAAGCCCTACTATGTGTTTTCAGGATGCTCGTAATATAAGCCCTACCCAAAAAATAAGTCCCAGTTAAGTGAAATCCTACCCTCCACCATTGTACAGCAACCAGAAGAAGATGACATGACTGTATTTGAATAAACATAGATTGTTGTACATGGAAAAAATAAAACATCCCCTGAAAATAAGCCCTAATGCATTTTTGGAGCAAAAATTAATATAAGACCTTGTCTTATTTTCGGGGAAAACACGGTGTTTTGTTTCACAACTGCTCCTCTATGTCACACTCCCAGGATAACAGTTGAATCAACTTACTGTCCAGTACCCTGTGGCATAGGGGATAATTATCTACTGATCTGCAGCTGATGGGAACCATATCCATGGGCTTCACTCCTTTGCTTTGAAAAGACTGCCCTAGTAAAAACCCAAGTGAGAAGTATTTTCTAGATGTTTGCAAGCTAATTAAATAGTTCAAGTTCCTATATTAAAATATCTCAATTAGCGTAGACAATTAATGGAATTTAACAGATATTATCTTATTGGAGTTCCATTGATTCAGCCAATCTACTCTAGTTGGGGCTGATTATTAGATTTAGTCCATGTTAATTTTTCTTCTGAATGGAACAATATTTGTTAAAACTAAAGATATATTAGGATAAAAACACATTATTACTTACCCTTTAAGTTTGAAGTTATAACCTAAAAATTACCTACGTTCAAAGTCCTAAGGTGTTGGGCAAATATATTACTTTCTTTAAACTATACATTTTCCCTTCTTGAAATATTCTTATTTAGCTAGTATTCTAATCTCATCTAATTTCAGGCACCATTCTTTCTGTCTTGTATTCTGTTGATACCAAAATTGAGAGGGGTTGTTATAATATACAAAACTTTACGAATGAAGCATAATAACGTCTGTAGCATGATTAAGATCCACTTGCGAATTATAGGAATGATTCAAAATAAAACTTTGTATGAATGAAGATTAGACAAACTCAGGTTTTCTATTAGTATCCATAGCAAGAGTAGAGCACAAATCCATCAACCAAATAAAAACAACTGGGACAGGAGGTGAAATGTGGGGGGAAGTTAAAGCTCTGAAATAGCAACAGTGAAAATCCAACTAGTAAGGAAATTTTTTAAAGCCCTCCCCCCCATCAAAGAGGAAGTCAGACAAAGCTGCCAGGCACAACATTTGAAAGCAGTTGTTCCCTGAAGTAATGACAGTTTTAGACCTCATTGTGGAATAAAGACTACAAATTATATTTTTATACTAGGAAACAATATATTCATGTAATTTACGGACCAATAGTTCTTGGGCTGGCACTCCGGTTTTGTAAAATTTCCAAAGGCTTCTGCAATTCCCTGATATGTAGATCTAGAGATTAATAGCAATAAGTGATGAAAAACATACCTAAAGTCCTTTCTGGAGGTGTTTTTTTTTCCTGGCGCTGTCATGTTGGGAATGCTTGGAAGCCTTAACGTCTCCTGGATTCCTTTTAGCAGTTTCTTTGAGTGATGTTTAATCCTTTAGATTGGCAGCCCTAGCTATTGTCCCTCTGCAGTGTTGTAGCTTTGCAGTGTCATAGAGGGTTCCCCTCAGATGTTGTTCCATTGTGTATCTCATGTGATCCTTCTCAATTGTGTTCCCTAGAATTGATGGGAGTTGCAGTCCTACAACATCTGAAGGGCCATTTGTTGCTCACCCCTGTATCAGAGCATACTCTACTGTTTTGTCCTTTGCATAATATATTTGTGTTTGGTTTCTATAACTGCAGAATTGGGAAACAAGACAAGGCAGATGGGATTCTGGCAATATATTTCCCCATTCAAAATATTTCACATTATACAGTGGATATAAAAAGTTTACACACCCCTGTTAAAATGTCAAGTGTCTGTGATGTAAAAAAATGGGACAGAGATAAATCATTTTAGAACTTTTATCAACCTTTAATGAGACCTTTGAATTGTACATTTGACCAAACTCCGGGAGGCAGTGGAAGACAGGAGGGCCTGGTGTGCTCTGGTCCATGGGGTCACAAAGAGTTGGACATGACTTAATGACTAAACAAGAACAACAATGAACTGTACAACTCAGTTGAACAACAAACTGAAATCTTTTGGGTGGAGGAAAGTAAAAATAAAAAACTGGAACAATATGGTTGCATCTGTGTGCACACCCTCTTATAACTGAGGATGTAGCTGTGTTCAGCAGGAAACAATCACATTCAAACTTATGTTAAGTAGGTGTCAGTACACCCTGCCATCATTTAAAGTGCCTCTGAGGAATCCCAAATAAAGATCGGCTGTGCTAGTAGGTCTTTCCTGACATTTTCTTAGTCACATCCTACAGCAGAAGTCATGATCCACAGAGAGCTACCAAAGCATCAGAGGGGTCTCATTGTTAAAAGGTATCAGTCAGGAGAAGGGTATAAAAGAATTTCTAAGGCATTAGATATACCTTGGAACACAGTGAAGACAGTCATCATCAAGTGGAGAAAATATGGTACAACAGTGACATTACCAAGAACTGGATGTCCCTGCAAAATTGATGAAAAGACTAGAAGAAAATTGGTCAGGGAGGCTGCCAAGAGGCCTACCTTAACATTAAAGGAGCTGTAGGAATATCTGGCAAGTACTGACTGTGTGGTACGTTTGACAACAATCTCCCGTATTCATCATCTCTCTGGGCTATGGGGTAGAGTGGCAAGACGGAAGCCTTTTCTTACGAAGAAAAACATCCAAGCCCAGCTAAATTTTGCAAAAACACATCTGAAGTCTCCCAAAAGCCTGTGGGGAAAAGTGTCATGGTGTGATGAAGCCAAGGTTGAACTTTTCGGCACTAATTCCAAAAGATATGTTTGGTGCAAAAACAACACTGGATATCACCAAAAGAACACCATACTCACAGTGAAGCATGGTGGTGGCAGCATCATGCTTTGGGGCTTTTTTTCTTCAGCTGGGTCAGGGACCTTAGCGGGAATTATGAACAGTTCCAAATACCAGTCAATATTGGCACAAAACCTTCAGGCTTCTGCTAGAAAGCTGAACACAAAGAGGAACTTCATCTTTCAGCATGACAATGACCCAAAGCATACATCCAAATCAACAAAGGAATGGCTTCACCAGACGAAGATTAACATTTTGGAATGGCTCAGCCAGAGCCCAGACCTGAATCTGATTGAAAATCTGTGGGGGGGATCTGAAGAGGGCTGTGCACAGGAGATGCCCTTGCAATCTGACAGATTTGAAGCATTTTTGCAAAGAAGAGTGGGCAAATATTCTCAAGTCAAGATGTGCCATACTGATAGACTGATGCCCCAAAAGGCTGAGTGCTGTAATAAAATCAAAAGGTGCTTCGACAAAGTATTAGTTTAAGGGTGTGCACACAGATGCAACCATATCATTTCATTTTTTTTTATTTTTACTTCCCTCCACCTAAAATATTTCAGTGTGCTGTTCAACTGAGTTGTACAGTTCATAGGTCTCTTTAAAGGTGGGAAAAGTTCCAAAAATTATCTTTGTCTATTTTTTTTACATCACAGACATTTGACATTTTAATAGGGGTGTGTAAACTTTTTATATCCACTGTAATAGGTACATTTCTGCCAAAGTACTCCATTGTTTAACACTTATTCAGTAATTTAAGTTTCCAGTGATTGGGAACCACTATGTGTGATGTGTACTTGGATGTTGAGGAGAGAGGTATATCCTACATATATGTCTTATTTCTTGTATCTACCTTTCCCTGAAAATAAGACAGTGTCCAAAAAGACATTATCGCTTATTTTTAGGGGATTTGTTTTCATGTACAACAATCTACATTTATTCAAATACAGTCATGTCATTTTCTTCTGGTTGCTGCACAATGGTGGAGGGTGGGGTTTCACTTAACTGGGGCTTATGTATTTTTGGGGTGGGGCTTATATTACGAGCATCCTGAAAAACCATACTAGGGCTTATTTTCAAGTTAGGTTCTTAGTTTCAGGGAAACAGGGTAGCTACAAGAAGTGGTGGGGTCCGTTCTTGGAACAAACAAATTCCTAGCTAGATCCTGGCTGATACTGTTTTGAGGAGTAGAAATGAGATTTTCAGAAGGGTTGCAACTTGATAATTTATAGAAACTAAAACAGTTTGTGTGATTCCTGTAGCATATAATACTTTTACTATAACTGCAAATTATGGGTATTTTGTTTGTGTATTGATGTTTCACTTTTGTTTTTATTTTTTTCTCCTGAAGAAAGTGAAGAAGTTTTTAAAGTGAAGAAATCAAGTTACAGTAAAAAGATAGTAAAGCTGCTTAAGAAAGAATACAAAGAAGACCTTGAAAAATCCAAGACAAAATCAGAAACTGTTTCTTCACTAGATGGTAATGATAATTGTATCAGATTAATCAATTTATATTCTGTGCTTCATCAGATTGCTCATTGAGATTACTTAAATAGTTGAAAACACCAGTAACAATAAACCATATGGTAAAAACATACAAAAAAGGTACTCAATTATAAGATCCATAAAATTTGAATGAAAATAGAACATAGACAGCATTTTAAGTGCCTGAACTACTTTAAAAACCAGGAGGAGTAAAATTGTGTTTGTCTGGTGCCTCCTGCTTAAGGAAGGCATTCCATAAGATACAAGGACCCCTCTCTGGTTAACATGTTCTGAAAAAGAGCAAACAGAGATTTTTCACTGTTTATCTTGGTGGGGTTAGGACAGCATTGGAGAACATTTCTTTACATAGCTCGATTTGATTTCACACCTTATGGCTTTAGAAGTCACTGTTGGTATTTATAATGGAATTCTTTCTGCCCTCTTGAAATGGGCTTTGAATAAATGGAATAGATTAAAATTCTGGCAGGTGTATTCTGAAACAGCTTAAGTTTCCACATATTGTGTGAAAGCCCTGTGTACAGTGTTCATAGTAATTTAATCAGGATATTACCTCGGGTGTGGATAAAACCAAGCAATAATTACCCTCATGTCAACAAGTGATAAACGCTATTGGCTGTCATCCAGTCTGTTGCCTGTACCAGATGCTAGTTAGCTATGACATTTTACTCTGCCTTTCATTGTCTGCATCAGAGTTGGTCCAGAAGGATACAGTGGAGCCAAGAGCCATCAAGGAAAGGAGTACTAACAATGTCTTATTACTCCAGCCATTTCTCCTAATAAAACTTGTCTACCAGGGTGAATATAGTTTTGTGCCATAGCAAGGCCTGAAGCTAGGTTATTAGTAGCTGAACAATAGTCATTCCAATGCTTTTAGTCTAAGGCCCTTTAAAATGTATGTTCAGACATACCCGTATTTTTCTCTCCATAAGACTCACCTTTCCATAAGACGCACCAAATTTTTAGGAGAAGAAAACAGGAAAAAATGATCTGAGAATTTTGGCCTGCTGGGCCAGTGGGGGTGAAGGTCGGGGAAGCCTCCAAAGAGTCCGAGAGTGCGTTCCAAGACCCCTCAGAGGGTCTTTTAAAAAAAATTATGGAGAGGTCCCTAGGACCCTTTGGGGGCTCCCCCAGGCCCCCCCCCCCGCGGGGCCAGAGGAGGCAAAATCGCCACTTTCAGGGACTCTTCTGAAGCCTCTCAAACCTCAAAAGAGTCACAGAAGGTGGCGATTTTGCCCCCTCTGGCCTCTGGGGGGGGGCAGGGTGAGACTCCAAAGCAGTGGTGTCCAACCTTGGCCCTCCAGATGTTCTTAGACTACAGCTCCCAGAAGCCTTCACCACCACCTCTGCTAGCCAGGATTTCTGTGAGTTGAAGTCCAAGAACATCTGGAGGCGCCACCTTCAGGGATTCTTCTGAAGCTTCCCAAGCCTCAAAAGTGTCCCAGAAAGTGGTGATTTTGCCCCCTCTGGCCCCATGGGGGGCAGGGTGTGCCTCCAAAGGGTCCTGGAACACACCCTAGGGCCCTTTGGAGGCTCACCCAGCCCCCCCTTGTGGGGCCAGAGGGGGCAAAATCGCCACCTGCAGGGGCGCTTCTGAAGCTTCCCAAGCCTTAAAGGAGTCCCTGAAGGTGGCAATTTCCCTCCATAACATGCATAAACTTTTTTTTGGGAAATGTGCATATTATGGAGCAAAAAATACGGTACATAAATATATTCTGAGATACAGTGGACCCTCGACTTACAGACTTTTCGAGTTACAGACTTCTCTGGCTGCAAAATTTAGATTCGACTTGCAGCCAGAGAATTGACTTACAGACCAGAAAAAAAACAAAATGGAATAAAAATAGAATAAAAACCACTGGTTATGGGATTAATTGGTTTTCAGTGCATTGTAGGTCAATGGAGATTCGACTTACAGACTTTTCGACTTGCAGCCACCATTCCAATACGGATTAATTCCTTAAGTAGAGGGTCCACTGTACATGAATCAGAAAAAAATGTATTACTTGTAAGTAGAGTAGGTTTGATTGAAATCAAATTGATTTAAACCAAAATTTAAAATTTTAAAACAATCAGATTCTTTTGACAATTTAAATTTTAAAAAATAATATTTTAAAATTTAAATCATGATTGAAATCACTTTGATTTTCAAAAATCATTCATTTTTATCACCCTGCTTCTAGGTCTAACAGGGCACTTTTTAAATATAGTAATAAAACAAAGCTGTACGTAATTGTTTTTAGTATGATCAAAGATATCAAGCTGTTCAGAAGAAAAACTTAAAAGTATAGTTTCTGTATATTTTACATTTCATCTGTTCAGATGAAGGAAAAAAAATACCTTTCCAAAGCAACAATTAAAGTACAGGCTTCTTTTACAGCTGAACAGTCTGCAGACAAAACAGGGCAAATTAAAGATACAACTCTAGAAGATGGAGCTACAAATAGTGAACAAGGGGAAGATGAGATGGAAGTTGAAAGTGAAAAGGAAGAAGAAAAACCAAAAGCTGCAGGAGCATTTTCAAGTGCTTTGTCTTCTCTGAATGTTTTGCGTCCAGGTTAGTATATTTTTCCTTTGTGGTAGAGGTTATCCTGAGGTGGCATTTTGATCTTTCTTGATTCGTGTCAGACAAAGCAGATTGTTAAATTTCTGTTAGATGGGAGCCATCCAGTTTCAGCCCCTCCTCTTCACAACATTCAAGTCTTTCTAGAACTGTCTTATTTTTCTTAGGAGAATAGGCATTTGTCTCTCCCTCCCTCTGTTTTAAAATGATCAGAAGAAGATGGGAGCCTGTTCTCTTTATTGAATCCATTCTTTTAAATCCCTTAATAAATTATTTATGGCTGTTCCTTTCACAATGCTCAGGAGTAGATCGCAGAAAAGCACAGAATGCTGCAACAAGCTTTGCTTGTGTCAGCTCTTCTCCCCTTGGTGCAGCCAGATGGAATGGCCTCCAGGGAGAAAGCCCCCGCAGGGGAGGAAATCATCAGCAATTGATCCTAGTCAAGCTGATGGAGTAGGTTGTAATGAGCAACCATGTCTAAATTTTATCTCTCCAATGTAACAGGCTGAAATTATAGCTTCTACTGGAAGGCAGCCCATCTAGGAGAAGGAAAACTCCGATTTCAAACCTCCACTGCCTTGGTGGCTATATCCACTCATGGAAAAGGTTTCAGGAGTTAACCTCGAGGCAAAATCCGGAGATGGAGTCCCGAAGGCAGCATGTGTCATTCTGCCAACTCCTGCGACATTGCTGGAACCAGTTGTATTGGCTCTTGCCTTTCCATTGGACCATTTCAGCAATGTGGAGAGGGGGGATCTGCTGCTTGGGTAACAGCCTATCCTCCATATTACCTTACCCGGGCTTCATGCTCTGGAGAGGACACTCCTCGATTCAGAGCATGTTACCATAGTCTCTCGAGACTGAAGGATGCCTATGGAATGGACTGTAACATAAGCACTTATGATTGGATGAAACTCATGCTTTTAAAAAAATCTAATACTATATTTCAGGAGAAATCCCAGATGCTGCTTTTATTCATGCTGCTAGGAAAAAGCGCCAAATGGCTCGTGAGCTTGGGGACTTTTTACCCCTTGACAGTGATACCGGGAAAGGACGCCTTGTTAGAGAAGATGAAAATGATGCCAGTGATGATGAAGATGATGATGAGAAGCGGAGAATAGTCTTTTCAGTGAAAGAGAAGTCCCAGAGGCAAAAGATTGCAGAGGAAATAGGTAAGATGAGAAGAAAAATGGCAGTAAATTAAGTTTCATATTTAGGCTGGGACTATTGGGGAGCAGTACCTCATTTCCTTCAAAAGAGGAGTTCTTACTTTCTTAACAGGATAAATTAGCATCTGAAGATGGAAGTGGATGAATAAATGGAAAATCACGTTTTCCCCCTCCACCAATAGCCCTGTACCCAGTCTTTTGAAGGCCCCTCCTCGGTGGAATGGGTTGTGGCATGGGCAACAGCAATCACCAAAACTCTGTCAGGTTGCTAGTTTTTCAGCAGACGATATCTTGTAATTGCCTTGAACCAGGCATAAAAGTAGGATTGGAAGTCTGGGTTTTGGCTTCAGATTCTTTTTTTAAAAAGTTTAAATTAATTCTATTATCGGCACAGATAATATTGGAGATAAGGGCAACCTTGTCTTGTAGCATGGCCTAGTGTATTATCTCAGTTATTCCATCATTTACTATTAATCTAGCTGTATTCTGTGAGTATAATTGGTGAATTATCTGCTTAAAATTGGGTCCAAACCCTAAATACTGTGTTTAATTAGAATCTTTAACGTATCCCATTCCATTGAATCAAATGCTTTAAATATATCTAATGAAAGTACTCCAGCTTTAGAATTAGTTTCTTTAGCTAAATGTATTAAATTAAGTATCCTTCTCATTAAATTTGACATTTGTCTACCTTGTATAAAACCATGTTGATCTTTTTCAATATAAGTCCCCATAAAGTTATTTACCGTATTTTTCGCCCATAAGACACACCTCTCCATAAGACACACCAAATCTTTAGGAGAAGAAAATAGGAAAAAAATAATCTGGGAATTTCGGCCTGCTGGGCCAGCGGGGATGGGGGAAGCCTCCAAAGGGTCCGAGAGTGCCTTCTAGGACCCTTCAGAGATTCCTTCTCTTTCGGTCCCAGTGTGAATAACTTTACAGACAATGTAAAATTACCTGACCATCCTAATCTCTCCCCCCCCCCCCGCCCCCATTTGATGGTACAGGGTGATGCTGCAATCGATAGTATGGCGTCCTGTGCATAGAAGGCCAAACAGCCATTGCTGGGTTTGACAAGTGAGCCCTGGTTGATTAAGGAATAAGACAAGCTAGATTTGAGACATGGTACAGTTAAGGACAGACAGACCCTTAAGGTCTGTTTCTGGGCAGTATCATGTTTTGTCTCTCTACATATAATTTCCTTTTATTTCCATGAGAAAATAAAAGTTTTAAGTATTTAAGCAAACTTTGGTGTATCAGCTACCAGGAGCTATGTGGCAACATTCAAACTTGTGGAAATAGCTCAGTTAACTCAAAGGTCTTTATAATCTGGAATTTGAAATTTTTCCTCGTTGTAAGGGCACCTTTTTGCCTCTATCACTGTGTATTTGAGCATAGTGTTCAGTTTTACGTTGTCTTATTAAGTATTCTGTTCCAATTTATTTTTCCCTTTTTGCTCAGGTATTGAAGGAAGTGATGATGAAGCTCTGATAGCTGGAGAACAGGATGAAGAACTCAGTCGATGGGAACAAGAACAGATACGTAAAGGCATTAATATACCTCAGGCATGTATTTAAAACATACTGCAATCTATAATTGATGATGGTGGTACCCTGGACAAATCCAGCTCTCTCATTGTTGCCTCGTCCCCAGTTGCCAATGCTGGGGGTGGGGATAGAGAGGTGCGAGGTAGGAGCATTTGAGACATTGACATGTCGCAGTTGAATGTCTTACCTTATCGTGACATCATTGTCCTTCTCATACACTCCTTTCTCAAAGTGGTCCACTGGTTCTTCTCCAGAGTTCATTATCACACAGTAGGTTGGATCCAGACCAAGCTGACTTCATTTAGTGCATGATGAAATCAGTGTGGTTTAAGTCACTTGTAACTTTGAATGGGACTCAAGATCAACTAACAGTCAGGATTCAAGTTCGTTACATAATTTTAAGGTTCTGTAAGTGAAATGATGCAGTTATAATGGTGTAATAGAGTAGTATTTTAAAGGTCAGACTGTGGAAAGACAATTGGAAGTGGGCAAAATATTTTTGATAAATATTTACTGAAAAAAGAGAATTGGCAAATGGAATAACTTACCGTATTTTTTGGGCTATAAGACAAACTTTTTCCTCCAAAGAAAGTGGGGGGAAATATGTATGCGCCTTATGGAGTGAATATGGTAAAAAAGGGTGCAATTTAAATTCTAACTGTAGGTGGTGTAAGAGGCTCCTTGGTAGCTCTTTCACCCCAACAGTTAGGAAAAAGCTGCTGAGGAACGCCAGGTAAGCTCCCAGAGGTCTACATGGGGGTG